AAAGGAAAAATATGAGTAATGGTCTAGCAAAGCCTGCCATGATCCCTCTACAAGTTGTATTTATCAGCTTCAAAGGACTGATGAAAGACAAAGCTGTATATAGACATTTATAGCAACACTATTACAGAAAAAATTGGCAAGAACCCAGCTAAAAAGCAAATGATTAAATACACCATAAAATGAAATATAAGAAGGCCACCCAAAAGGCAATGATTGTAATGACAGGAAATTTTAAAATGTTAAAGCTGCAGAAAAGTACATTTACTATACAGTATGAATATTTCTCAAAAACGTGAGGAATTATAAGGTACAGTAAACACTCTCAAGTTTACTTTTTCTTTGACTATTTACTTTTTTTTAAACAGAGTAACTCCTGTATCAAAGAAAAACATGAAAGAAGTAACAATCTGGATACCCTAAATGAAATACATAACTCATGCTGCACAAATACTACGCTTGGGAGTGATATTCAAGTAGTATTTCTGAGAGTAAATTCTTTTAAAATACACACAAATCTAAAGCTGAGACTCCAACAAGATAACAATCACATACAAATTCTTCTAAGTTACTCAAATGTGAAATAAAAAATATTTTACTTTCTTAAATATTAATTTTGAACCTCAGTCTTGTCATTTGCTATTTAAAACATTAGTTCATGAAAATATTAATGACACAAAATACCTCATAAAATTGCAAAGTAAAACAGTTATTTTTCACACTGTGGAGGGCTTTTGGATTCCCAGTATAAGATCAAGGTCGACAATATTCATATTTTGGCAGGTTAATGCCAGGCTGGAAGCCAGTAAGCTCCACAGAAACCATTTTAGGAGAGTTCCCACTGAGGATCAAGTAATGAGTGACTTGTAAACACACTAGACACTCATGTCATAAGCTTTTAAATAAAAAGTGACTTGGAAAATTTACTTCAAGGAACATTATCTTCATACTTGAAATTCTCAATCATAGAACAAGTAGCCTCACAAGTATATGAAAATACTACCTTGCTACTCAGTAAATTAAACCAACCATCTCTGAAGATGTGAAGCAAAATATAAACATCCCATGATCAAATTCTGTTACTTAATGAACACAATAAGACAAGATTATTTTTTTTCTGACGAAGCACAGAACACCCTATGATGCCCTACTACCCTTTGAAAAATTTAAAAAAAGATATTCACTTGAGTGGATGCATCATGTCCTCTCCTCTTCTTCTGCCATTTCGACTTCTACTCTGATTGCCCATGAAGCCGAATAATCCTCCACCAAAAATGTGAGAGAAAATATCATCCATGCCACCACCTCCGCCGCTACCTTCCCGAAGACCTTGTTCTCCATATCTGTCATATAACTCTCGCTTCTCCGGATTTGATAATACTTCATATGCAAAACTTATTTCTTTAAACTATAAAGAAAAAGAGTTGGATTTTCAAACAGAGGAATGAGGGAAGGCTACAGAAACCCAGAACCCATTTAACTCTAACAGAAGCCTCAAGTTTTCTTTGGTTTGATTTCTGGTCCTGTTCACCACCTACACTGCTCAGTGTCAGTACTACTGTATTCCCATTACAAAACTAAAATATAAAACTTGAGTCTATGGAAACAAGTGGCTTTTTCCTACAACACTGCTCTTTACAAAGAGAATAATCTAAGTTTAAAATGAAAATCCCAGGAAAAAAAATATTTTCAAATAACTTACTTTATCTCCAGCATTTGGATTCTTATCAGGATGATATTCCTTGGCTAACTTTCTGTATGCCTTCAAAAAAGATTTTTAGAAAGGGTTATACACAAACACCAGTTTAAAGATTTGTAATAACTTAATACCTACTTTTCTGAAAAGCAGTGTACTAAAGTCATAACTTTCCAAGAATATTATCTATATCAAGACTCTGGCATTTTCCATCAATACTATTTATGATCTTTATAGACAATAGCTATACTCGAGAATAGGTTATATTCAATTAAAATCGGATACAATGAAGTGAAGCTACGAAGAAAAACAAAATATTAAACCATTATTCCATATCTTCACCATTTGATGGCCAGCAATCATACCTGGAAGACCCTAAAGAGGGATAGATGCTTAAGTTTCACAACCCTGAATTAGGCTAATGTAAGAATCCCTGCCCACGAGGGCTCCTGTTTTGTAACAGTAGCACCAAGAAGTCATGAGATGGCGTTGTTTTGGGGTATTCTAGTTGCAAGCCGTGGTAACTGGGTCTAAGTGACCTTGGTCTCAGGGAGGTGTACGCACTCTCAATTAGGTGGAGTAGACATGAAGCATTCTAATCTTCATTCACAGACTCATGAATTATATAATACAGACTAACATTTCCGGTAAGGTAACAGGAAGTCCATTTTACTCTCGGCTCTACCGGTCCCACCACCTAAGAAGCTTTCTCATTTTTCTGTTTACCAATCTGGATACCCTAAATCCAAGGGGATGCTGGGGGAGGGGGAGCTTAATAAAACGCCTTGAGTGGCTTTGCAATCTAGAGATGAGAGATTTTTTTGCAGCACTGCAAAGAGCAATAGGAAGATCTTTTCGATTTAGTGTGCACTCAGGTGCTGGGCTGGGACCACAGAAAGTGCGGTTTATCCCTGACGCGAGCAGACGTCTCGGTTACCTGCCCCCAGAACAAAGCCTGCAAACAGAGACCCACGCCGCCTCAGGCTCTCAGACCAAGCAAGAGGGTGGAGCTCGAGGCCGGGAGGCCGGTGGCCCCAGCCCGGAGAAACAGACCCCACGGCTCTGCCCTGGCTGGGTCAGCAGACGTCTGTTACCTGCCCCCAGAACAAAGCCTGCAAACAGAGACCCACGCCGCCTCAGGCTCTCAGACCAAGCAAGAGGGTGGAGCTCGAGGCCGGGAGGCCGGTGGCCCCAGCCCGGAGAAACAGACCCCACGGCTCTGTGCTGGCTGGGTCGGCCTTGGCCTCCCGCCCTGCGGCCGTGACCCGCTGCTGGACTCCGGGCACCGCGCCCCGACCTGTTTTTCCGGGGTGGTGACCCGGTACGCAGAAGACCAGCCGCCCAGTGTCTGAGCCCCGAGCACAGGGAGGGAGACAAGGGGAATTTCCGATGTGTTTGCGCAGAGCGAGTTTCACCGGCTGCATCAGGGAGCGGAGCCGGCGGG